ATCAAGGTCCCAGAGTCTGGAGGAAAAGAAGAGAGGCACTTCATCCACGTTGCTTGAAGTCCAGTGTAAAGTTTCCACAGTCAGTGATGGTTTGGGGTGCCATGTCATCTGCTGGTGTTGGTCCATTGTGTTTTCTGAGGTCCAGGGTCAACGCAGCCACATACCAGGAAGTTTTAGAGCACTTCATGCTTCCTGCAGCTGACCAACTTTTTGGAGATGCAGATTTCATTTTCCAACAGGACTTGGCACCTGCACACAGTGCCAAAGCTACCAGTACCTGGTTGAAGGACCATGGTATCCCTGTTCTTAATTGGCCAGCAAACTCTCCTGACCTTAACCCCATAGAAAATCTATGGGGTATTGTGAAGAAGAAGATGCAATACACCAGACCCAACAATTCAGAAGAGCTAAAAGCCACTATCAGAGCAACCTGGGCTATCATAACACCTGAGCAGTGCCACAGACTGATCGACTCCATGCCACGCCGCATTGCTGCAGTAATACAGGCCAAAGGAGGCCCAACTAAATACTGAGTGCTGTACATGCTCATACTTTTCATGTTCATACTTTTCAGTTGGCCAACATTTCTATAAATCCTTTGTTTTTATTGGTCTTCAGTAATATTCTAATTTTCTGATATGATGAATTTGAGATTTTCATTTGTTGTCATTTGTAATCATCAAAATTAAACAAAATAAACATCTGAAATATATGAGTTTGTATGTAATGTATGAATATAATATACAAGTTTCACTTTTTAAATGGAATTACTGAAATCAATCTACTTTTTCATGATATTCTAATTTTATGACCAGCACCTGTATATGCTTACCATCAAAGGTTATTATCAGTGGGCAAACATATCATAATGTACAGAGCCATCTCTAATCCAGCCCAGCCTGTTTGGAGAATGATGTCACATTTTTCAACAAACTGGCGAGACGGTTCTTAAGGGAGTTAAACTCTGCCCTGATGAACTGACCCCACAGCCGATCCCTCACAGATCAGAGCAGCCAAATGCTCTTTTTAATTACAGAACGCAGTCTGCTGTTGTATAAAGTCCTCTAATTAAAACACTTTAGTCAGTTTAAAATGGTCAATGATATAGTCTAGGATTTAGACTGTGACAATTCTGGACTCTTCCTAAGGCTAGGACTCCACAGAGCCCCAGCTACAGAAGAAGCAGCCTTTGTCTGGACCTGACATATGCTGCTGATTCGTTCAAGTTTTGGGTCATCTGTCAATCTGATGCGCGCGACGTGCCGCAAACGCGGCTGCTGCTCGAGATGGAAAAATTTAACTTTTGCTGCTCGACGCGCCGCATCAACCAATCAGAGAACCTGATCTGTGAGCTGGCAGGGAGAGAGACACATTATTGATCATACAGAGCACTATGATCAGTCCTCTGAAACAGTTTATTAAGTTTATTAACCTAAAATGCTGAAATCTGCCGGCAAAACATGTTCGCTTTTATTATCCTGGTGCCTGCAATTTGGATTACGTACCTGAGAACCACCTTCCAGCCGCCGAGGCGACCCGGCCAGAGGCTGCTGTTGAATGGGATTCCTAGTGACAGAGCACCGCTGGTATGTGGGGGTCTGAGCGTCTCCGACAGAAATAATATTGGAAGGCAGGATGGTAATCTGGATGAACTGACTGCACTGATGAAGTTTTCAGGTGTATTTTCTCACTTAAAAACATATTAAAACTACTTTATTCCCACTGATCACAGCCAATATAGCTGCAAGGCAAAGAAAGCATAGAGTAGCTCCGCCCAACCCGCGTCAGACACACTTTTTCACCACGCAGCCAGAGCAGCAAAGCTGATTCAGCCACGCGTCAGAACTAACTGGTACAAGCAGCAAAAAGGAAGCAGCAGACGCGTTTTTGCTGCTCCTGCTGCGTTTGGTGTGAACATAGCTTTAAGGATTCTTCCTGACAGGGCATTCGTTTGCTTTCAGATTCAGTCATGCATTTTTATCACAAAAAGGGAAGTTGCATTTGGCATTAAACGACATTAATGAGGCCGGAAACAGAATCATTAGATAATACGCCTAAAATTGACAGGGATTTATTTAGGGCTGAAACAATTAATCAGATTAATCACGATTAATCAATTACTGAAATAATTTTCAACTAATTTAGTAATCGACTGATCGTTAACGGAGTGTATAGACTCTAAAACATGACCTTAGCTGACAGAACAACCCACTTAGAGCTGTAATTATTCCAAGATTGTAAAAAGAACATTTAAACATTTTGCATTAAAATAATAAACTTTTTCATCTGTCATTATGCTCTACCCAGAACTCCTCAAGTTAAAAAAGGTTTTAGTTTCACCTTATTTAATTTCCTAAAAAATCTTTTTTAAGAATCTTTGGCTATCCGAGTCTTAAAGGTATACTATGCAACCGGTGTTGATTTTCCAGCGAGGCTCCCCCCAGAGGGCGAAAGTAAAAGTGCACTGTCGTAAATATGCTCAGCTGTTCTCCTGGTTTCTCCGTCAAGCCAGGCACGGTTGTTTTGAGCTTAGCAGACAGGCAAATGCAACAAATCACCATGTCTACTGCAGGAAGTGATTATTTTGTTCCAATTTTCGAGTTTGAAAATTTCTCTGTTTTCTTGCTCGTTCCACCATGGTAACTGCACAAAGATCGCCACTGCGCCAGCAACGAGCATGCCTTTCACTGGGGGCGTGTAGCAGTTCTCGCCGTAAAGCAAGACCGACTCTCGCGATGCACAAGACTTCTGGGCTTGTGGGTGCGGGCCGAGGGCTCCTGCAATTGCAAGTACGGTATTTCCCCTACAGACCACCAGGGCGGCCGAGAAAACCTTTGTTCAACCTGAAATGACTCATTTAATCATCCAAAACGTTAAACACATTAATTAACTGAAAAATGTTGCATAGTGTACCTTTAATCGATTGATCGAAAAAATAATCGACAGATTAATCAATTTCCAAAAATAATCCTTAGTTGCAGCCCTAGATGTATAATGAGTAGGTATGAAGTGCAGGCAAAGTGTTCATATCTCTGATTTAGAAAGTAACCACTATAACCTCCTGTTTAACTTATCTTGATGTTTACCTCAGGCGTTTTAAGACACTTAATCATGATGCTTGTTGACTTGGTTATTTTGTTTGTCAAGTCTGCCTAATAAGACTTCCTCTTTGCAGTTTATACATTTTCACCATAAACCTTTAAAGATGAGTAGCCTTTGTACTGCCTCTGACCATCTGAACCCAAATCCAATCCAATTTTATTTCTTAAGCACTTATAAAAAACTAAAGCAGACCAAAGTGCTTTACAGAAAAGTAAATAAAACATCACATTTAAAAGAAAAAAAATCAGCTGAGAACATCAATTCACACAATCAAAGCAATAAAATGGAGATGTGCATATCCTCCACAGCCAATTTGGCTTTATTTCTGAACACTTAGTGCAGGGTTACATGAGATCTAATCTACCTTTAACGTCAGCACTATGCATCAAAGTTATGTTGAAGGTCTCACCGTACATTTCTGTTACTAGTGGCCATTCTAAATAATCATTTCAATCACACATTTCAAAAAAAATTTTTTTAGATGCTTTAAAACCAGTTTTAAGACCTGCTGCTCGCTGTTACAACCAGTTACACAACATCGCTGCATCCCTTGTGACCTAAATTACCCTCATTCCCTCAGCTGATGTGGGCTGGGATTACCTTTCTTTATCAGTCTATTCACTAAACACATAGATAACAAAAAGTCACATTAAGACTACTTTAAGTGTTTTGTTAAAGAAATTTTAGTGTGAAAACTTCCTTGAAGATAGGCGCCGTTTCCTTAAAGATAAACAGATGATCAAACCAAGGTGGTCCCATGCACCGTAATGATCTTATTGCAAGGTTGTCCATATGATAATGGATGAGAGAGCTGAAAAAACAGAGCAGACTATCTGATCCCTGCTTGTTTGAAATGTTCTTCGCTTGTTGGATGACAGCTGTTTATTAGAGCTGCTGGAGAAGCTAATACACTGGAAAACTTTTCTTAAAATAAGTGCATTTGTTCTTGGATTGTGAAGGTAAAGGAGACATTTTGCCAATGGAACAAGACAATTTACACTTAAAATAAGAAAACAGAACTGCATTGTTTTATTTTAAGTGCATATTATCTAATGATCCTATTTTAAGAGTAAAAAGACTCATTCCATTGGCAAACAATCTCATTTACCTACCGGTACTCAAATTAAGGGTAAATACACTTTTTTTTACTTATTTCAAGGCTGTTTTTCCAGTGTACCTCAAACTACACTGCTAAATATTTAAATCTAGATAAGTCATTTTTTCTTAAAATAAGTGCAGTTTGCCTTGAATCGAGGAGGTAAGTGAGACACTTTGCCAATGAAACAACATGATTTAGATTTAAAATAAGAACAAAAAAATTAAATTTTCTTATTTTAGTGCCTACTATCTAATTATCTTATTTTGAGAGTGAAATTACTCATTCTATTAGCAAATCATCGTATTTACCTACTCAAATGAAAGGAAAATACACTTAATTTAAGAATATTTTTTACTTAATTCTAGACTTGTTTTTTGCAGTGTACTTGAGATGACAAAAAAAAATTATCTAAAGAAGTAATTTTATGTTCTTGAATTTAAGGGGTAAAGTTAGACACTTTGCAAATGGTACAAGATGATTTAGATTTTAAAATAAGAAAAAAACAACTGCATTGTCTTATTTAAAGTGAATATTTTCTAATTATCTTATTTTAAGAGTAAAAATACTCATCCCACTGGCAAACTGTCTTATTTACCTACTCAAATTAAGGGTAAATACACTTAATTTAAGAATTTTTACTTATTTCTAGATCATTCATCCAGTGTATGAGATAGAAAGCACCAAATTACTGAGAGAATCTACTTTTTATAACAATTTTGACAAGTCTAAAGATGTAAGCTGTTTACAAATTCATCTGCAAAACTACTGGTTGTTTAGATTTTATTCTGTGTGATCACAGGTCAAAGACAGAGGACCAGAGGCCACGCGCAGATTCTTCAACTGGTTCTACTGGTGCATTAACTTAGGAGCTATCCTGTCTCTGGGAGGTGTGGGATACATCCAGCAGAATAATAGCTTCGAGCTTGGTTACATCATCCCAGCGGTGTGCCTCGGAGTGTCCTTCCTGGTCTTTCTTCTGGGTCGTACTGTTTTCATCACAAAGCCCCCCGACGGCAGCGCCTTCTCAGATATGGTCAAGATCATTTCCTTTGCCTGCTGTTCACAGAAACCAAGACAGCCAAACTTGCTTCGGTAAGAGGGCTCATATCTTTTAGCGATAAGAAAAGCAAGTTTTCAAAGAAAGATGATTTGTTGGAACGTTAAATGTGTGAAATCTCTTCAATAACAAAAAGCATTTTTATACAAGCAGGGCTCCATCAAAGTATTAGGCTCTCAGCCAAACAGCAGCTCAAAGGGAAATCCAAAACACTTAGAAAAGGTTAGAAACATTAGTTTAAAATAACTAACTAATACATTTATCTATGATTCCCACTTTGCCGGTTTTGTCTTCAGTATTTTCAAGGGAGAATTTTTAATGTGAGCTTCAAGGCAGTGTTTTTTTTTTAATCTTAAATCTTTCTTTGATCCCCTCCTATAAGTCTTTGTGTGCCTGCTTATTGCCCTGACTTCTGGTCAATGCATTCATCTGTGTTCCCTGTGGTGAAAAGTTATTCCAAAGTGCTAAAACTTGACTTTGAACTAAAATACCACAAGCGGCTCTAAAACTTGACATTGAATATTTTAAGTTGGACAATCCCACAGCCCTTTAAGAATTCCTATTAGAGTATTTTCTCCAGAGATGAGGATTATAGGCTTTAATGTAGTTTCTTTTGTATTTCTATAAGTGTTTGTATAAAAGGGTAAGGTTTGAAAGTAATTTCATCATCTATATTTATCATTGCACACTCTGTTTTAGTATTTTATATTTTCTTTTTTAACTGTTTTTAGCAATAAACCAACCCTGCTTGATACTGCAAAGTTAACCTACGGAGGGATATTTCCTGAGGAAAAAGTGGAGGAAGTGAAAGCATTAGTGAAAATCCTTCCAGTTTTCTTTGCCCTTGTTCCGTACTGGATGGTGTATTTCCAGGTAAGATTTATCAATGTTTCATAAGCGGAAAAATATCAAGGAATGTAACTTGACTATACTGGATTCAGGAATGTAGATTAAAAGAAAGAAGAAAACCCAGATGTGTTAAAATGAGGGAAGATTATTTTCTTTTTCAAGATTAGAGAGAACCAGCTTAGCACCAGAGACCCTGTTGGTCATAAAGTGTAGAGGATCACTCCTCGCTGGAACTAATCTTCTTATTGTGCTGCAGATGCAAACGACATACATCCTGCAGAGCCTCCATCTGAGGATTCCTGGCACACCCACAAACACCTCGGTGAACAATCAGGTAATGAAAAAGGGAGTATTTTAAAATCAAGAACTTTTCCCTTCTTTATTTAAGAATTTGGCAGAATATCAAACAAAACACCACCTGTTTCTGTATTAATATCTTTGAACCAGACATCTCACTGCTGGAAAAGATGAGTCAATTGGTCCCTGACATGCAATGGCAAGCAACAGCTGGAGGCAGCAGCAAAGACTTGTAATGCCTCGGGGATTAAGTCAGATCTTCACAGACTAATACCTCACAGATTAGCAACCTGGCTGTTTGTGTCCCTCCGCTGCAGCGCCTCCATCTGATGGTTCCTGCTGATTGTGGCTGATGTAACTCACTCTTGCAGATTGTATGTTGCTTTCTTTAAGACTTTGATGGCTCCCTCTGCAGCTTCACATGATTCCCCCCAAAAAAGAGGTTTCACAGCGATGAAACCGATCACAGTAGCACGTTTGTTCAGTTTAATCAGCCAGTGTGACTTTACTGAAAATGTGAAGTGAAACACCTAAAAACCAAATTTGTTATTTTCAATATTGTGTAATTTGTACATCAGTATGTATTTTCATAAAACAAATACTGCTGATTTTTTTTTCTTTTTCATTTTCTAACAGCTTAAAACTCCTCAAAAGAGGAAGTAAGTTGTCACTTCTACCAACCTTGCCACTTGTTGACATTAAAAGGGAAGTATGGTTTGGCGCCGTTTGGGTACTCCTCTCCCTCAGCTCAGCTGTTTCCTCCATGGAACAGGAACACAAACTAATGTTTAAACTTAAACTTTATTGTGGTGCAGTACCAACTGTAATGCAGTAATATTTGTAAAACTGTTTCTCTTTTAACCCTAAAAAAAAGTCCCTTTAGTGTTGAACGGATTTACATGAATGAGAATTCAGAGTAAAGCTACTTCTCAGTCGTAACTGTCGTAGATTCAGCTCTTAAGTCTAAACAGCTAAAATGATGTCAAACAAATTCTTTATGTCTTACATTATTTCAGTTTTTCTGGTAAATGTGCTTAAAGGCTCACTGTGAATTTAAATATTTTAGGAAAGAGAAATATTAAAGGTAACAGCTATAAAAAAGACACATTTTAAAACATCCATACTGAACGTTTAAGTTAGGTAGCTCCATATTAACGCTCTTGATTTATTAAACTGTCCTAGCGCACATTTATTAAAGCAACATGATTACTTGTACGGTCAATAAAAATTAAAAAATTTGAAGAAATCTGAAATATGCAAATCTGTATCATCTCTGGGGAGGAATATGGTAAGAGAAAATAAAAACTAATAACTTTAGGCTTAACGGGTAACATTTTCTGTCCTGCATTCAAGTTGCTGAATCAAATCAGAGCTTCACCAAACCCAACATTCACCATCTTTAAATCAAGACGTAAACATAAAAACAAACAGGGGGAAAAAAAGAAGAGGACCGAGATCTATGAATAATTGAGAACAAATGTAATCGTGTCATGTGCACCAAACTTTGTTAAATGTTAAAGGTTAAAGCTAACTGCTATTTAGACTAGTGTCCTTATGATTATTATACATAGAGGTTTGGAAAGAAAGGAAACATTTTAAACTCTTCAACACTCACCATTTAGCTAGTATTTTAGCATTAGCTTGGGAAATTGTGTCGTTTAAAAGCTGGTATTTGATTATGTGGAAATTATAGAAGAAACTTTAATAGATTGATGATTTAATCCAATAATTGGAAATAAAGTTTTAAAGTAAATTATTTCAGTTCAGATTGAAGTAATTTACAGAGACTGAATCAGATTTTATAAATTAGGGCTTCAATTAACAATTCGATAAATCTGTTGATTATTTTTTTAATAATCACATAGCAAAAGGTTCCTTAAAGAAGATTTTTTACAAAAAGAAATGAGGTAAGACTAAAACTTCTCCCATTGAGGAGTTCTGGATAGAGCATATTGACAGATCTTAAATGCAAAATGTATATATTTCTTTAACAATTTTGATATAATTACTGCTCTTAGGGGGTCTTCTGTTAGCTAAAGGCATATTTTACAGTTTATATACTTAAGTTAAGTATTAATCGATTACTAAATTAGTTATTTCAATAATTGATTATTCCAATTAATTGTTTCAGCCCTGCTATGAATGAACGCTGTAGCGTGCCATAGGATGCTGGCTTTAATGACATTTTTATTCAAGTTAAACAATTTTATCTGTACTGCTGCTAAAGCCTCTGGGTAAAATACTCCTACATTATTTTCACGTTTTACCTTTTTCTTTTGTAAATTAAATTAAGTTTTCTTCATTTAATTGTGTTTGGTTTGTCCACCTGGGGGTGCCAAAGCAGTATGAAGACTGAGGCCTGCTTGCTGATTGTGGATGCATACATGTACAGGTGCTGGTCATAAAATTAGAATATCATGAAAAAGTAGATTGATTTCAGTAATTCCATTTAAAAAGTGAAACTTGTATATTATATTCATACATTACATACAAACTCATATATTTCAGATGTTTATTTTGTTTAATTTTGATGATTACAAATGACAACAAATGAAAATCTCAAATTCATCATATCAGAAAATTAGAATATTACTGAAGACCAATAAAAACAAAGGATTTATAGAAATGTTGGCCAACTGAAAAGTATGAACATGAAAAGTATGAGCATGTACAGCACTCAGTATTTAGTTGGGCCTCCTTTGGCCTGTATTACTGCAGCAATGCGGCGTGGCATGGAGTCGATCAGTCTGTGGCACTGCTCAGGTGTTATGATAGCCCAGGTTGCTCTAATAGTGGCTTTTAGCTCTTCTGAATTGTTGGGTCTGGTGTATTGCATCTTCTTCTTCACAATACCCCATAGATTTTCTATGGGGTTAAGGTCAGGAGAGTTTGCTGGCCAATTAAGAACAGGGATACCATGGTCCTTCAACCAGGTACTGGTAGCTTTGGCACTGTGTGCAGGTGCCAAGTCCTGTTGGAAAATGAAATCTGCATCTCCAAAAAGTTGGTCAGCTGCAGGAAGCATGAAGTGCTCTAAAACTTCCTGGTATGTGGCTGCGTTGACCCTGGACCTCAGAAAACACAATGGACCAACACCAGCAGATGACATGGCACCCCAAACCATCACTGACTGTGGAAACTTTACACTGGACTTCAAGCAACGTGGATGAAGTGCCTCTCTTCTTTTCCTCCAGACTCTGGGACCTTGATTTCCAAAGGAAATGCAAAATTTACTTTCATCAGAGAACATGACTTTGGACCACTCACCAGCAGTCCAGTCCTGTTTCTCTTTAGCCCAGGCAAGACGCTTCTGACGCTGTCTGTGGTTCAAGAGTGGCTTGACACAAGGAATGCGACAGCAGAAACCCATGTCTTTCATACGTCTGTGTGTGGTGGTTCTTGAAGCACTCACTCCAGCTGCAGTCCACTCTTTGTGAATCTCCCCCACATTTTTGAAGGGGTTTTGTTTCACAATCCTCTCCAGGGTGCGGTTATCTCTCTTGCTTGTACACTTTTTTCGACCACATCTTTTCCTTCCCTTCGCCTCTCTATTAATGTGCTTGGACACTGAGCTCTGTGAACAGCCAGCCTCTTTAGCGATGACCTTTTGTGTCTTGCCCTCCTTGTGCAAGGTGTCGATGGTCGTCTTTTGGACAACTGTCAAGTCAGCAGTCTTCCCCATGATTGTGTAGCCTATAGAACTAGACTGAAAGACCATTTAAAGGCTTTTGCAGGTGGTTTGAGTTAATTAGCTGATTAGAGTGTGGCACCAGGGGCCATCAATTTTGAACCTTTTCACAATATTCTAATTTTCTGATATGATGAATTTGAGATTTTCATTTGTTGTCATTTATAATCATCAAAATTAAACAAAATAAACATCTGAAATATATGAGTTTGTATGTAATGTATGAATATAATATACAAGTTTCACTTTTTAAATGGAATTACTGAAATCAATCTACTTTTTCATGATATTCTAATTTTATGACCAGCACCTGTATATGCAGAAACACTCAGTGATGTTTGAGTGCACTCACAGTCTCTGTACTTTTTATTCTCTCTTGCTACTTCTAAAAGTAATCTCTTCTCTGGTTCTTTCAGATGAAGTTTACCTTCCCGACCGCATGGCTTACCATGTTTGACGCAGTGCTCATCCTCATGCTCATTCCTCTGAAAGACAAAGTAGTGGACCCCATCCTGAAGCGCCGTGGCCTGCTGCCCTCCTCTCTGAAGAGGATTGCTGTGGGGATGTTCTTTGTTATGTGGTCAGCCGTGGCAGCGGGTGAGCACCCTAACACACATTTTCTCAACTTTGTTATTGCTGAACAGGCCATGGAAGAAAGAGCTCTCTTTCTGACTTCAACAGAGATGCTTTTAGAAATTCTTGACATTTTTGGAGGAAGTTTTTGCACTTAATCGATTTAAAATTATACATTAAAATAGTTGTTTTTACTAAATCAAAACAAAATTGACAACATGCTACAAATAACTGAGTATTGTAAGATACATAATATCTCACTTGTTTGATAAACAAGTATATATTATTTATTAACTTATCTGATTGAGGCATTAGCAGCTATTCCTATAATTCTCTGGATTACTAAACATTTAAAAAACTAAGCAGCATACAGTCAATAAATAACTCTTTGCTTCTCATTTAATCCCTGTGATGTGTGTGTATTATATGCCAGAAAGTACAGTTAACAACAACTTTAAAGCTACTAAAACCCTGCTATTCTATCGTAAATAAACAGCCATCTTTGTATTACAAGAGCAGTTATAAGTCAGTCAGTTTTTTTCGGGGAATTATTTTTGTCAAGCTTTAACTTCCAATACTAAATTATATGTGCTCTAATAAAAGAAGCAATTAGAGACGTTTTGTAGCCATTTCCTATTTCTTTCATCGTCCCTGTTTATTGATTATTTTGATACAGCAGAGTCAATGTCATAGCTTGTATTCGTGAAAATAGCAGCAACAACAAAGAATTATTGTTTTTTTTTTTTATTAATTCAATTCAATTCAGTTCATTTCTATAGTGCCAATTCACAACACAATTCATTTCAAGGCACTTTACAGTTCAACCAGATCATCCAGTCAAATTGATACAAAGTTTTCTATCTAAGGAAAACCAGTTGATTGCATAAACTAATTGACTCATCTGCAATCCCTCACACTAAGCATGCTTGTAGCGACAGTGGAGAGGAAAAACTCCCTTTTAACAGGAAGAAACCTCCAGCAGAACCAGGCTCAGTGTGAGCGGCCATCTGCTGAGGCCGACTGGGGTTCAAGGAGACAGAAGTAGAGACACAAAAAGCATCTGTAAAAGGCGGCCCCATCCAGGAAACACACAGCCAGGCAGACGAGCTCCAAGGCAGCTCCCATGCCAGAGGACGAAGAGAGCACATCCAGCCAGTCACGGTCAGAGAAACAGGACTACACTGGAAAACAGGCCGATATCCAGCATCTAGAAACAAAGGTGTTGATGGCAGCAGCACAGCTGATAATTCTCTCCAGGATGGAGTCACAGCCAAACAGGAACCGACCAGATGAAGCTACTATGATAAAAAGCAGAGAGAGCATAACGTTAGAGATTGAACCAACAGATTCTGCAGATTGGGAGAACAGAGAGAGAATAAAGCAGAATGATGAAAAAGGGGTCCCTATGTCCTCCAGCAGTCTAAGCCTATAGCAGCATAACTATAAAGATAGCTCAGGATAACCTGAGCCACTCTAACTATAAGATTTATCAAGAAGGAAGGTTTTAAGCCTAGCCTTAAAAGTAGACAGGGTGTCTGCCTCACGGACTAAAACTGGTAGTTGGTTCCACAGGAGAAGAGCCTGATATTAATTACCTTATTTAGACAGCGCTCCAAAAAACTTTATATTCATAAGAATGTGAACCTTCACCCCAAACAGGAGCTCATAGGGAGCTAACATTTCCAGTCCAAGAGAGGAAGAAGTTTTAAGCTCAAAAGTATAAAAAAGAGCGACTCTGAAACCATAGCTTTTGTCTTCCTGTTATCTCTTGAATGTTTTACTCTCACTCACTGCCTGACTCTTTGTTCCTGCAGTAGTAGAGCCCAACTCTGTTGTTTCATGAGCTGATCTGATTATGAAACATTCAGTAATTGGGAAAAAAAAGATATTTTCAGGTTTATGCTCAGTATGTCACATTTTATGCTTAAAAACTGAAATAAAAAGTAAGTAAATATATTGTGTTGCAATTCACAATACTTTGGCAGAAGTTGACCATACGCCTATAAAAATACTATTCTATCTATCTATCTATCTATCTATCTATCTATCTATCTATCTATCTATCTATCTATCTATCTATCTATCTATCTATCTATCTATCTATCTATCTATCTATCTATCTATCTATCTATCTATCTATCTATCTATCTATCTATCTATCTATCTATCTATCTATCTATCTATCTATCTTTTCTTTCTTAACTTTTGAAAACTTACCATATGTAGCATAATAGTTAGTGGCATGTTTTTTTAACCAAATGTAAGATTTATGGACAGCATGTAATGTGGCCAAATTACATCTGTGTGAACCGAGTTTATGATCATCCTTGTGCTTTAATGCTTTTTGGAAGAGAAGACACATGTTATTAGAGCAATTTGGAAATATTCTGCTCTAGTCGACTAAAAGCATCTTTTTTCCATCATAATAAATGCTCTTCAGAAAAATGAAATGTGCAAACATTTCCCTTTGCAGGGAACAGGCTCTTTTCTATAAGGGATGCTTCAGCAACATGTACATTTCAATGTTTAAACGCTATTCAGGTATTTATTTTCACATTTGGCTTAAAAAAAAAAAAACATGCAATCTTTTTGGCTTTGAGCTCAGGCAGAATAAATTCAGAATCTCGGAGAAAGCAATTTTGAGTTCAGGAAGTGAAGAGAAAGGGTTTGGTATGGTGGTGTAGGCTGCGCATTGGTCACAGAACAGAAGGTAAATACATAACCAGGACGCCAAACAGGTCTGACCTGGTTTTTAGGAGTAAAAAGCAAAGAACAAAATCACAGCTGGGCATTACAATATAATGTGAAATACAATAATGACATTGATGATTTAAAGAATTGCTCATCACACAAAATTTTATTAAGAAACAGCCTTTCCTTTGGGCTGCCTTGCAACGGTTTGAATAGTAGCTTCAGTTGGCTTAAAGTCTGTCCCCAGAACTGATCCGTTCTCTTCCTGGTAGCTGAAATCATGTTGTTTACACAACACCTGATGGGAAGTAGTGAAATTCCCAGTAAGAGGTCTATTGCAAAATGTGTAGTCAGCTGAACGCATTCAATTTCTTCCCACTTCGGTGCTGGAATCACTGCTTCCTCCTCCTGTATGAAATAACTGGACATTTGTCAACGAAGTTTCAGGAGGTTTCATTGTACATGTGCTGGCAGATGTCTGAGGGCTGAGGAGAGCTGGGCCGCGCACACAGGGTAGAGATGGCTGACACATTGTCAAGCAGAAAGGGAGTTTTTCTGAGCAAGTCACACAGCTTTGATGATGCTGCTTTTTAAGAATATATATTTTTTAAGGTGCAAATTTTTCCACAGTGAATTGCAAGTACTAGAAATATCTTATTAAACACCAAATTTGTTGTAAACATGCCAAGGATCACAGAGAAGTGACTGATGTGTTTTAGCTGAGGTAAAAATACCAAAAATAGGGGATGCTTGTATATAATGTGAGACTCGCTCTGGGCGATCCAGTGGCCATGCTGTCTGAGATGGACGGATGGTATTATTGGATATACGGATTACAAGGCTACAACTTTCCTCAAATACAGCATTAAGTGTGGCTATGATAGGAAGCTGTCTCTGGGAGTTATCTGAAAATAGCCGCTGGTCACACGATAGTAGTTATCGAATGAAGCTTTTAGGAGCAAGCGCCGAACCATGACAACTGCTTAGTTGTGATTATTGAACTGTCTGCAGTGCCCTGTTTATTAACTGCCCTAGCTAGAGTGTGCAGATGTGATTTTAATGAAGCAGTAGGAAGTCAACAAAACAAGCAATATCCTCAGGGAATTGCTACTAAATGTTTTTTTTTTCCTCTTAAGTAACATAATTATTTTTAAATCCACGTTTTCATATGAGTAAATGTTTTTTCTGTCTTTATTTTATTTATTTTTTTCTTGTTGTTTCTGCCCACTCAGGTATTCTGGAGACCAAACGGCTCGAAATTGTTAAAACCAACGGGACCATAGACCAGGTGCTTGGTAAAGTTGTCTTCCATGTTGCAGATCTACCCATCTGGTGGCAGATTCCTCAGTATGTGCTGATTGGAATCAGCGAAATCTTTGCAAGCATTGCAGGTAGAGTTGTTTGACATCATCTGTTATATTTTGATTTCATGTAGGGCTGAAATGGTTAAATTGAATTAACTACTAATTAGTAAGCGATTCATTGTTAACTGGAGTATAGACTGTAAAACATGCCTTTTCTGACAGACAAACCCACTTAGAGGAGCAATTATACCAACACCATTGAAAAAAATGTGTAAACATTTTGCATTTCAAGATTTAAAAAAAAAATTTTCATTAGTTGATATTCTCTATCAGAACTCTTCAAGTGGAAAAGTTTAAGCTTCACCTGGTTTAATTCTGTAAAAAAATCTTCTTTGAGGAACCTTTTGCTACTGATTATTGATTGATTAATCAAAAAATAACTGACAAATTACTCGATTAGCAAAATAAATGTTAATAATGCAGCCCTAATTCCATGTAATAAAGCAGCACGAAGTAGATGTAATTGAATTTGGTCCCTGTTTATTACCTTGTAAAACCGTCTCATGCTACATTTACAGCTGAAAGACTGTGGAGGTATTTCTCCCTTAGCTTAATGCAACTCTGGACTAAAGGTTTCTGCCTAATTTTGGAAGAGTTCCGTCAGTCTGAATGGAAAGTGTCTGTAACATCATTTTTCCTGACTCTGCACAGTTTCAATTGGATACAGTTTTGGTCTTTCAGTGAGGTATTCTAACATGTGAACATACATCAGTAGTTTCCAGAGGTTTCAGCTCCTGGACTGATTTTGAGCCCCGTTAGTCTTTGAAAAATTTGAATCTTCTTACAGTGGAACATTTTTGGTCCAACGCAATTTTGACATTTTTTTTCCCAAGGGCTACACTTGAAAAATTGCATTTATTCTTTACTAAAAAGGATCACATTCATCTATTGAATTTTACAGAAATCTGCTTTTAAATAACTTAGTAATTTTCGCTTTATAAATCAAGCAATTCTGAAGAAAGAATAACGCTATTGCTGTTGTTATTGGTGAAAATATACAATGTTTTTTCTCCTTTTTTTGTTTGTTTTGTTGTTTGTTTTTTCCAAACAGACCCTAGATAATAAAAAAAAAAACTGGATGAGGTTCTTTTATCAAGGTAAATGTTCAAAATCTTATTTCAGATTTTGGATAACCGATGCTTGCACATCCCTTTATATGTTAAATGCCATAATGATAATAATCATATATTTCTAATGCGATTTACATTCTTAAAATCTCAAACAACAAAGACATTGTTCTACCTTGAAGTTAACTAAAAGATTGGCCTGCCAGTAACTAATGATTTTGACCCATGTGGTGAAACATTTGGACACCACAGTTCTAAATTGTAGTGCTGGATGCTTAGTTATTTTCCCAACATTAAACACCAATAGATGTGAAGATCTCCCCTCTTTATTGCTACCTGTATTTAGCTCCACTTTTTTCGTAACAACACTGGCCTGTCCGTCAGACTGAAAGCGGGATTCGGTTTACTTTATTTAAACAGTGAAGTAAAACTAAATAACTATAAACTATATAAATGTATTCGATGGGATATTGTCCCAAAAGTTAAAAAATTTATATATTTTTTTTAAATCTTGTCTTAAAACCTGTGGGTTTTTTTTTTTTTTTTTTTTTTTTTTTTTTGTTATCTTATGCAGGTCAGTTAGTTATTAGTTAGTTGGTTATACGTCAGCTTGTACATCTAATTTCGGCCAATCACATATCAACGGTCAACTGTCAATCAAATTTTTTCGGTCATAGCATCTTGATTCATATGTCGCAGCTAATATACGCAACGGTTGAAATAATAAAATAAGAATCAGTTACTTTCTCATTGAGTTCCGTCCCAGTGTTCACGGGGATGGACGTCTGTGTCTTCGGCAGGCGTAGAGCTAACAGAACTGGCAGCGTTGCGAGGAAAGGGCTCAAACATGTACGGCTGGAAGCCTTCTACACCAAACCAAGCTTCTGCCGCCCTGGCGTCCTCTTCCACAACATCTTCGTCCCCGCTTTCCTCCTCTAAACAAAAAATGGATGACGGAGGAGACTCATCCACGACCTCCGACACTAAACTCTCCTCCTCTTGCATGTTTCCTCTGTCCATAGCGTTCCTTGACAGTGTCGTTTCTAAGTTACCAATTTAGTGCTACTTGGTCCCAATGGAATTTCCCATTGGGAACCTACTAGCACTAAGTTGCTAACTGGTTAACAAGATGCTTCTGAGACACCAGCCACAACCAAACTTGCTTGTGAGCCTTCCTCCACAACAATCCCGCCCCCTTGATAAACGACCAATCACATTCACTTTATTCACTCGTGTAAAGTCGTGCACCACTTGGGAGAATTCGGAAATGCAACCGTTGGAACAGCCATTTACCTCCGACTATAATACGATTTCAGGGCATGGTAGGGTGTGACGTCTACTTTTTTTTTCTTTGAAGGTAAATAAACATTAAAAACAGTTTTATTAATTAATGGGACTTCAGACTGATTTGGGTATGCTGTTCACTAAAACATATAAACCTTTTTTGAGCACTTTGATTCATTGCCATGCTCCACCAGCTAAATTTGTTTGTGGGTTGATATCCAGAGCAAACAGACCAAGACATTAGCTGATGATTAATCATCCTGAATTTCTCCTGTTGCTGCATGAAACTCTGAAATAATGAAGCATTTTACAAAAAAAAGTATGAATTTGGAAACTATTTCACAGTTGAACTGAAGGAAGGTTAGTCTTTACTCCAGGCATATGACTGACTTTGCATAACGAATGAATTGTCCCCACATGTTTAGTAAACAATAATTGAAAAGCAATACTGTTTTGTAGACCAGACTATCCTATCGCATCAATTTTCAGTTATCTTAAGTCTTGATCTTCTATTTATCCCTATATAAGAATGGAAATGAATTGCTTTTAAATTGTATGGTTAATATCACTTCTTGCTTGTACTGGCCACCTCACAGCATCCCTGGATTTATAATTTTGAGCCAGTGGGGAGATGTTTTTGATTTAAGTCATTTTATTATAAACAAATTTTCATAATTTTTTTATTGTATTTTTATTTTTTTAGATATTTTTGAAAGTATATTTTTGAAAGCAACATTTTGAAAATTTGCTTCTGCAGCCTTTAGAATTCAGAATAATTCAGGTTGCCTTCAGAGCGGCTATTTTATTGAAGTCTTTCGAATTTAATTGTTTGATTTTCTGTTTAGTTCTATACACATCACCAAAAGTTTAATATAAAGTGTCCATGTGCTAAACCAACCTATCCATCATTTAAATGTATTGTAAACATACATTTAAAGTTATAGTGGAGGATGTTGTTTTTCTGGGTGGATCATCAAAATAAGTGGTCCTTCTAATTGTCAATCAATCTGATGATATGTTTACATAAGGCTGTCCTACACGCTTGTCCCCATTTTCCCTACCAGTGGTCAGTCTCGCATAGTGGAAAAATTGCATATCTTCTTTTGGAAAGTACAGTGGGGAGAACAAGTATTTGATACACTGTTGATTTTTCAGGTTTTCTCACTTGCAAAGCTTGTAGAAGACTGTAATTTTTATCATAGGTACTCTTCAACTGTGAGTGATGGAATCTAAAACAAAAATCCAGAAAAATACAATGTATGATTTTTAAATAATCAATTTGCATTTTATCGTGTGAAATAAGTATTTGATACACCAGAACAATGAAACTTAATATTTGGTGAGATTAGGTGAGATCTTGCATGGCGCCCCAGACCGAGGGAGATTTTCCGTTATTTTGTATTTCTTCCATTTTCTAATAATTGCACCAACTGTTGTTGCCTTCTCACCAAGCTGAAACCTGAAGGCTCTGAAAGAGATCTGTATGGAGGAGTGGGCCAAAATCCCGCCTGCAGTGTGTGCAAACCTGGTCAAGAACTACAGGAAACGTCTGATCTCTGTAATTGCAAACAAAGGTTTCTGTACCAAATATTAAGTTTCATTGTTCAGGTGTATCAAATACTTATTTCACACAATAAAATGGAAATTGATTATTTAAAAATCATACATTATATTTTTCTGGGTTCTGTTTTAGATTCCATCACTCACAGTTGAAGAGTACCTATGATAAAAATTACAGTCTTCTACAAGCTTTGCAAGTGGGAAAACCTGAAAAATCAACAGTGTATCAAATACGTGTTCTCCCCACTGTAAGCTTCTATGAGCGATGCAAACAGCAAATTTTAAAAACATGTGCGCAAGGAGAAATGGGCTTGTGCACGCTCTCGCACGCATTTCATAGGCGTTCCCTCTCGGGAGCAGGTACAGGGTTGTGCATGTGCACAAAAAGTGGAGAGGGCGGGTCTTTTCAAAAATTCACGAAAAACCTCCACTATACCTTTAATATTGTGTGACTTAACAAAGTTGGCTTTTATGCAAGGCAGCTTCATTTGTATAGCACAATTCAGTACGAAGACAATTCAAATTGCTTTACATGAATTACACAGTGAAATAGAAGGAAAGTAAAAGGAAGTAATAATCAAACAGATAAAAGCAGGTGCAAAGATGAAATCCTTCATCTAGCAGAAGTGGGGAAACTTTCTGCTTTGAAAACTCATCTTTATTCCCTACACTTAAAGATAGTTGTTACGACAGCTTGATGCAACACACTGTTACATTTTTACGATCGTGTTGCATCACATCTGTTGACATTAGGCTAAAAACACATATTTCCATAACAATGGATTTCCTAAGTCTTTATAAGGTTTATGCATTTATTTATTTCCTTTGTTTATTTTTTTATTTCTCTTTTTATAAAGTTTAAAATCACACTACATTGTTTGAAACAAGGTTGGTATGTTTTTATTCCCCCTTTTTTGTTATTTTGTCACTAGGCAAAGATTATCCATTGTGAACAGGTTTCATCTTTCTTCCATTCACAAAAGATTAATTGCTTTGGAGATAACTACAATTTTTAATAAAATCTTCTCTTTAACTATAGCACTGACATCAAAGTATCACTGGGAGCTTAAAAAAAGGCACATTTTGGTTAAAATGTGGGAATAAACATGTGTTGGTCCCTAAAATGTCCACTTTCTGAAGCCTTTTTTTTTTCAAACTGTAGTTTGTTTTCTCTAAAAAGCTAAATTGTAGGCTGATTTTTTTTGGTTAATCCTAAATAAGAAAAAAATCCAAGAAAGTCAAAATTGTACATTTTAGGTTTGACAGCAATAATCTTCTTTTCTTATTCTTTCTGTGTTTTATCTAGAAGATAGATACCAAGCTTTCCCCTTTATCCCTTGAACCCTGACCCAAAACAAAAAAATCCTTTTCATTCACAGTTCGGAGAATTAAACAGCATATAGCTCCAGTGAGGCTTTATTTTGTTAAATTAAAGAAGTGTTCTCTTTACAGAACAATCTCAGACTGAAACACAACAGGAGCGACTTTTCTTTTATTCAAAAGCACAAGCTGTGTTTTTCAGAAATGTATTTGAATGTTGAGCTCCACTGATGGCTTTGGGCAGTTTATTTCCTATAGGATGCTGTCACTGATTTGCATTGTGTTTCTGTTTGGAGTCACATCTTCTGGCCTCAGGCTGAATAAAGCGTGTAAAGATTTATAATCATTAAGTAATTTTCTTTTTACAGTGGATGTCATGTTTTCCATCTACTATAGGGAGAATTTTTTCCGAAAAACAGAACACCTTTTTTTCCTGATTCTCATGCGGTTATTAGGGATGCACAATATAATCGGCCCCCTATCAGTATCGGGCTGTATCGGCCTTAAAACTGAATATCGGACATCGGCAACCCCACCGATATTTAACCCGATATTTGATCAGCTTCTGAGTTTCTAAAGTCTAAAAAAATACAACAAAATATTACTTGTTCTTCTTCCTCAAAAACTTCTTTTTTACAGACTTTAAAAACTTCTAAAGACGAGGGAAAAAATATTGATACATTAAAATATCACAATATCTTCATATGCTGATATATTGCCATTTAAAAACACCATATCAATCTCTTTTACTAATGAAATACAGTATTGCTATATGTCATCGTTATGCTACATATATTTTTATACAACATATATTTTTATATGTTGATATATTGACGCGGTATCGATCTATTTTACTAACAAAATCTCACAAGAATCTGCAAAATATCACGAGAGTTTGTAAAAGAACGATGTAATTTCTCGAGATTTTGAAAGTAAAATAGATCGATACCGCGTTTTTAAAAATCAATTTGATATCAGCATATGAAAATATATTTGAGTTTATTATTTTTCAAAGTGTCAGAAATGGATAACAAAACTGCTTTTTTCAATAACCACTTATTTTTGTCCAGCTTTAGCATCGGTATCGAAATCGGTTATCAGCTACATGAGTTTTAAAATATCGGATATCGGCCAAAATCCCAATATCGTGCATCCCTAGCGGTTATGTTTACTTGCAAGTTCTTGTATTACTAAAAATGTATCATTTATACTATTTAAACCTCATGAATACTGGAGTCTGCATATTTATGTTGGACATTGCATTAATTTCCTCCTTCTACCGTCTTGTAAAAAGACTGGAATCCACTCATATCTAACATGGTCTCTATGAAAGTCAAATCTGACCAAACAAAGCTACTGGAGTCTTTAGAATAAATGCACTCACAGACCATCCCATCCCACCGGGCTTACTTCAAGGGAAATTGGCAGACTTGTGACATTTGTCTGTGGAAGAAGGAAAATTTCCCCCATGTCGTTTGCTGTTTGAATAAATTTGTCTGAAACCTTCAGTTGCTTTGATTGAAGACAGAAGTCTGTAGCCTGGTTGAACGGGAGGTAATTTTCTGTGCAGAGTTTTTCTCCTCTGAGTTAGTAACAAAGATACCTGATTTTTTTTTTTAAGCAAAAAATCCTCACACAGACTAATAGAAAAAAATAACTTCTAGTAAGAGAATATACATTTATATATTCATGTTTTCATACATTTTCCTCTGGAATAATCCTTTCAGTAAAGAAAGGTCAAGCTGAGTATTTTAGCGGTTAAAAACCACAGAGATCCTTTTAGATTGTCGTCACATATAGACATTCACAGGATGTAGCCTAATGTTAGAATGCTGTTCACCCTCCAGTGCTGAGCTGGATATAGAAAACCCTCACAAAGCTTTGCACTCCACTATTACATGCACACTCTAGAGTTGTGTGTTGCTTTTAAAACGATATTTGAGGATGTAAAGACGTGCAGCAGACATTTCTGCTTCCCACTAAATTCAAACAGGATTCAAGTGTTCTTATCTGATGTCCCCTGGTCTTTATTTATTCCTTTATTGTCTTACATACTTGTTTATATTCTTATTTATACAAATGGTTCATGAATATCTAACCCAGCTATTGTGATGTATGCAGTAGATAGAATAAGTAAACATTTTTATTTATTTATCTGCATCTCCTTAATCGTTTTAATCATTAGTTTACATCTTTCCTCAGGTTTATTGTTCTTTTCTTAAAATATCCTCAGACATTTTCTTTTTTTCTTTTAGTCCTGATTTAATAAGCTCTCTATAATGAGGAGTCAAGGAAGCATTTTAAAGACAGTTTTAAAAAAAAAGTAGACCAGCATATGTCAACAATGCTGGTTATGTTACAAGACAGAATAAAAATGTCATATTCTGGGTTATTTTGTTGCTAGACTATAAAATTAACCCAAGAGTGATTTTCTTTTTTTTTTTTTTTTCCGCTAAACTAATATTTATTTAAAATAATGGTTAACTTTGTGGTTACAGGTCTGGAATTTGCCTATTCTGCAGCTCCCAAGTCCATGCAGAGTGCGATTATGGGGCTCTTCTTTTTCTTCTCTGGGATTGGCTCATTCGTGGGCTCAGGTTTGCTGGCCATCGTTTCTGTCAAGGGGATCGGCTGGATGTCTTCTCACAAAGACTTTGGTAAGAATCGAAACCAAGCAACGGATCAATAAGATTTGTTTTAAGATTTTTTTTTATAGAAACAAAGGGAGGCTAAGGTGAGGCAATGAAAGAACAAGCTGTGATCACAAAAAAGATTAAAAAAAAGTTACCAGAAGAGTTAAATATCAGGAAAACAAAATACATGTATGTATTTAAATGAGCACGGATAATTTTGGACGGAAAGACTTAAAGCCAATTTATGCTTCTGACGCATAAAAAAAAAATCCTGACTACGCGTCAGATGGTCACAAACCCGCACAGACCTCAAGCGGAAGCGCACAGACAAAAAGCAGCTGTGATTGGTCCTTGTTATGCCTTTCTGGCTGTCTGTGTGGTCACCCTTCTTGATTCGGTGCCGGGGCACACCATTTTTAAAAACCGAGGAACGATTACAATGGACAACTACACTCACCGGCCACTTTATTAGGTATCCCATGCTAGTAACGGGTTGGACCCCCTTTTGCCTTCAGAACTGCCTCAATACTTCGTGGCATAGATTCAACAAGGTGCTGGAAGCATTCCTCAGGGAGTTTGGTCCATATTGACATGATGGCATCACACAGTTGCCGCAGATTTGTCGGCTGCACATCCATGATGCGAATCTCCCGTTCCACCACATCCCAAAGATGCTCTATTGGATTGAGATCTGGTGACTGTGGAGGCCATTTGAGTACAGTGAACTCATTGTCATGTTCAAGAAACCAGTCTGAGATGATTCCAGCTTTATGACATGGCGCATTATCCTGCTGAAAGTAGCCATCAGGAGTTGGGTACATTGTGGTCATAAAGGGACGGACATGGTCAGCAACAATACTCAGGTAGGCTGTGGCGTTGCAACGATGCTCAATTGGTACCAAGGGGCCTAAAGAGTGCCAAGAAAATATTCCCCACACCATGACACCACCACCACCAGCCTGAACCGTTGATACAAGGCAGGATGGATCCATGCTTTCATGTTGTAGACGCCAAATTCTGACCCTACCATCCGAATGTTGCAGCAGAAATCGAGACTCATCAGACCAGGCAACGTTTTTCCAATCTTCTATTGTCCAATTTCGATGAGCTTGTGCAAATTGTAGCCTCAGTTTCCTGTTGTTAGCTGAAAGGAGTGGCACCCGGTGTGGTCTTCTGCTGCTGTAGCCCATCTGCCTCAAAGTTCGACGTACTGTGTGTTCAGAGATGCTCTTCTGCCCACCTTGGTTGTAACGGGTGGTTATTTGAGTCACTGTTGCCCTTCTATCAGCTCGAACCAGTCTGGCCATTCTCCTCTGACCTCTGGCATCAACAAGGCATTTCCGCCCACAGAACTGCCGCTCACTGGATGTTTTTTCTTTTTCGGACCATTCTCTGTAAACCCTAGAGATGGTTGTGCGTGAAAATCCCAGTAGATCAGCAGTTTCTGAAATACTCAGACCAGCCCTTCTGGCACCAACAATCATGCCACGTTCAAAGTCACTCAAATCACCTTTCTTCCCCATACTGATGCTCGGTTTGAACTGCAGGAGATTGTCTTGACCATGTCTACATGCCTAAATGCACTGAGTTGCCGCCATGTGATTGGCTGCTTAGAAATTAAGTGTTAACGAGCAGTTGGACAGGTGTACCTAATAAAGTGGCCGGTGAGTGTACGATGAAAGGTTAATCGAGGAGGTTCGCTCCATTAACAGAACCTGTTCCTCTTCGATGTCTAGCAACGCTAGATACATCTCTGTGAAGTTCTCAAATAGGCTCCCCCTTGTGCTTTGGAGGGAATCTGCTGTGTGTCCCTAGAAATTCCCGACTGACGGTGCAGAAGCTTACCAGCAAAACTGGTTCGCGACCAGACCCAAACGACATTTGATGTGTGCGGTTGCAGAAGTCTAATCTGCCCTTAATGAAACACTTTTTGGGCTAAACATGAGTAAAACAAGCCTATGTTTTGAACTCATTGTGATGGGATTAAAACTAGGTTAAGAAATGATAAAAGCAGGGATATAAAAGTAGAGTTAAGTTTGAATCTTCCTTTAATTTAGACAAGTAGATTAAAGGTACAGCATGTATCACTACAACAAGCCAAGTCGTTTTATTTAATGAAATTGATGAGACATGATGATACTAAAGTATTAACATTTTAGAACAACTCAACTTATTAAAAGCACAAATTGTAAAGGTGAGTGCTGAATTAGCGTATGATGCGGTCAGTAGTCCCTCTGCACTCCAGCTCCTCAGGATCAGTGACTGCATTTCCATCAACCATCAAATTGTAATTATGAAAATTAATTTGCTAAATGAGAACTCTCAAATATTCCAAAAACAGTTTTTTTGGTGAAATGTTTTTATGGTCATTTCGAAATTCTTACATTTATGAAAAACTGCAATAGATAGAACTTTTTCACATCACACAAGTCACATGATCTGCATTCTCACCTTACTACCTTGTAACAATACTAGAAGCAGTTGGAAGATGATTGTGATGCATATTTGGATTCATGAGTAGACTTAATTTTTACATTTTCTGGGTTTTATTTTTAACATAATTAGAGGACCTGAGAAATCAACATGGATTGTAGAACAAAAGTAAATGTCTTGTCTTTAAACATCAAAGTGTGCAGATGTTTGGCCAAAAGAAAAAAGAAAAAAACAGCACCAAATAAGATAAACAGATACAACACCAGAACGGGGACCCTGACAGAAGCGAGGCTGCCATGCACAGGCCTCTCTGACACCTATAACCACCATCAGTGGGCAATGTGGATGAGATGAGATGCAACAGATGAAGCTTGGCTATGAACGGGCGATCCTCTGGTTTCAAATCAGAATATACACTGACCAAAAATTTAAACGCCCCAATTCAGACATTCATGCCATGTGAAGGTAGCAACTCTAAATGAGCATTTGCTCACATTTTATAATAATAAAAATAGTAATATTTTTTCTTGATTTGTGTATTTAACTTTTTTTATCCAACTTGCTGTCACAGTGAGTATAACTCACTAATTTTGTTACAAGTCATAAGCTGCAGGTTATGCTGGAGCGTGCGATTGGCATGCTGTATGCAGGAATGTCCACCATAGCAGTAGTTGCAATGTCCATTATTGGACCACAGGATGTTTAAGAATTAGTTTGCAACAGACTCAGGGTTCCAGCGAGTCCTTAAAAAGTCTTAAAAGGCATTGAATTCTTCAAAATAAAACTAAGGCCTTAATTGGTATTAAAATGTCTTAAATCAGTCTTTTGTAGGTCTTAATTTTTAAAACATCATAAATAGGATTATTTTTATTATGATTTATTTTTGTAATCTAAATAAAACTTTAAAATAATATATTTTTTTTTTGTTTTAATAAAAAAAAAAAGATTTAATAAAAAAATTTAAAAAATTGCTCGCCATTATTGGTTCTGTCCCGATAGCGGAACCAATAAAGTGTTGTTGCGGCCGGGACATTTGGGAGATGCAGCATTAACTTTTTGTCTGGAAAATATGAGCAAGTGTAAATGTAACGATAATTGTCTCCAGCCAAGAGTTTTCTCCATGGCTAAAACCAGGGAACATACATGAGGCTCAGTGGATTTAGTGCAAGAAGCGATTCAAGCTCAGAACGATGGGAATTAAGGCAGTGGAGTCGCACATGCGAAGCACGAAACACAAAGCGTCAAAATGGAGTTACAGAGAAACAGCCGGTATTTCTCAGTTTAGTTCCACCCTTGTCTCTGCAACGCCTCCACTTATCACCAAATCAAACATACTAAGAAAACGATACAAAGAAAAATAGCTGCAAAAAAGACTTAGCACTGGTTATGTTGTGGCTTTAAAACTGATTTGTTTTGTTCGCTGCTAAAACAAAGTTTGTGAATTCAGTTAAATAATTGTTAAAATATATCTGTCATTTGTGTGTTTTTAGCTTTCTTCCTGTATGGGAAGCTTTTCAAAATTTGAAACATTAGTGCAGTGGTTTATGTTAAAATAAACCTTTGGGTTAAGTTGTCGCAAGCAGGTTTTTCTTGTGTTTCTTGTGAATTTGGTCTTAAATTTTTATTTCAAGTGGCATTAAAAAGTCTTAAAAAGTCTTGAATTTAACTTGCCTTATGCTGTAGGAACCCTGAGACTGGCACTGCTGTAAATTGACCTCATCGTGATTACTAATTAGTGAATCAGTCATCACGTTACTGATTCAGTGGTCTTTCTCTTACTCAGTTATGAGGGGAAGTATTGAAGGAGAGGATCAGCCTTTTCAGTTTTCTGAAAGGCTTTATTTTATCAATAAGCATGTCAGTTAAACCACAAAAAAGATGTGTGTAAATGTGTCTGAGCAGTAGATTAAATACTGCTACGGTGGCAGCAGATGGATGGGCTCCCATTGGGTGGAAGCTCCTAGTCCAGATGCCCTTTTCCCTGAGCATGTGTTTAAATAAGCCAGCGCTGTGAAATGTTTATCCACAAAAGCCTAATAGCTCATTAATACAGCGTGCAGACAAGTTTGGGAGCTACTTCTGATAAAGGTAGCACTGAGGATGCTGGGTCGGCTTCATAAATCCATTCTCTGCTAAGCCTCATGTCACTTCAGGGGAAGTATAACTGAGGCCAGATTGCCTGTTTGACTCTCCTTGCTTTCCAAAACAAGTCATTTAGAAGGTGAGTTTACAGAAATGGAACAAAACATCCTTCTGGCCACTGATAAGAAACATATGGCACAGAGCTTAGTCAGTACAGTCAGGAAACATGTTTTTTTTTCTGCAAAATGTTTTTTTTTTTTTTCAAAGTTAGCGTCTTCGACATCTCTTAGCTCTGTAGGTGGAAGGGATTCAACTTATTTCCATTGCTGTGGGCAAAACTGTGCGTGGCAAACTGCATCCTGGGTGAGCTGTGCTAAGTTGTACTGAGTTGCACGGTTCCTGAAGACAGACAGCAACATTAATCACTGGCTGGGGGTCTGATTACATAGCCCAGTCCTTCTTAAGTAAAGCTGTCCCTGGAGCGATACATGGAGATGGTAGAGCTGCCT